GCAAACTGTTGTGGTAAGTGTTGCTATATACCTTGAAATCTGATGACCATAGCCATTTGAACATTTTATTTTTCTGACTTATCACAATGTGTCCAGGTATTCCAAGGTCAGGTTTTAAGCCCCAACATCTCATTTTAGGCCTAGGACCAATATCAGACTATTTACTTTACAAAAGTGCTTTAGTTAACTTTCTCCTCTTTACAGCTTCCATTACACACCTTATTCTGAAGACTATTTTACCCCCCTAAGTAAGCTCAAATATGATATAATCAAGTCAAAATAACAAACACATATCCCCTATAAAGTATTCCTACAAATAGTTTAATCTTAATGGAAAGCAGCTTTCAGTTTACAGGAAATAAGTGTTGCAGTCAGTCTCCAAGATAGCCGGCCCCCATAATCCCTCCTCTACTGGTATTCACTGCCTTGCACAAACCACTCGCCTGATTAACTTACTTCCAACCAATATAATAGCTTGATTTGAGATATCACTTATGTGATTAGATTATAAAGATTCCATATTTGGTCCTGCCAGCATACTCTCCCTTGCTGGCTTTGATGATGCAACTTGCCTTACTGGGGAGGCCCATATAGCAAAAATCAGAGAGGGCAGTCTGGTCAATAGCTAGCTAGGAATTGAGGTCCTCGGTCCAACCCCAAAAGAAGTAAATACCAAGGATGTGAGCTTGAAAGTGAAAATCACTAGAGCTTTTAGATGAGACAGCAGCCTTGGCTGATACTTCACAGTCCCAAGAAAAACAAGGAAACAGAGAATCCACCTAAGCTATGTTGAGATTCCTGACCCACAGAACATTTGAGCTAATGTGTGCTATTTCTAAGTTTTGGGGTAATTTACTAAGCAACAACAGATAAACAATACCAAAGGGTCGTAGAAAAATATTTTACAAACACAAAAGGTGAGGTGCTTCACATGCTGGAGTGCCCTAAACATTCCAAAAAGTCAATGATAGTTTTAAAAGATGAAAGACTGTTCTAGATTAAGAGGCCAAAGAAGCATATAACCCAATAGCTATTAATAAATACATAAATCTTGATTATTTAGATCTTTTTAAAGCAACAGTTATAAAAGGCATTCTTGGAGCAATGAAAAAATGTAACATATGGACTAGATATTAGATGTTATGAAATTACTAATTTCCTTAAGTGTGATATTATCAGTAATAAATTATGTTCTTAAAAATGCCTTCATTCTTATAAGATGCATATTGAAGTATCCAGTTGATAAGCATTTAAGTAATTTCAAAAGAAAGTATAAACTATGGAGATAAAGCAAATCTGGCAAACTACTAATAACTGTGGAATCTAGTTAACAAGTCCACGAATGTTCACTATATTTCTTTCAATTGTTTGCGTTTTTTGTTTTTTTTTTTTTTCTCCCTGGTTTTTTACCCAATCTACTCATCCTCCATTTACACCACTAAACAATCATGAAATAGTACCAAGAACAAATCAGAGATTTCTCCAATGTGCCATGAGGACTGGAGGGCAAAAGGGGTAGAGGAAGGGGAGAGATAGATGGAAGTTACTGATTAAAAGTGATCTTGAAAGCCACAGGTTCTACGTTTTTTGTTTTTTTTTTTTGAGACAAAGTCTTGCTCTGTCAACACTCAGGTTGCAGTACAGTGTTACAATAATGGCTCACTGCAACCCTGACTTCCCAGGCTCAAGTGATCCTCCCACCTCAGCCTTCTGAGTAGTTGGGATTATGGGCATGCAACATCATACCTGGCTAATTTTTAATTTTTTTGTAGAGATGCAGTCTGTGTTGCCCAGGATGGTCTTGAACTCTGGGCTCAAATGATGCTCCTGCCTTGGCCTCCCAAAATGCTGGGATTACAAGTGCAACCCACTGCACCCAGCCTCTTTCAATTTTTATGTATGAATATTTTTATTAAAAAGTTGAAGTGAAACTCATGGAAAAATTATGTTAAATAGAGTCTTCAAAACTGTATTTATAATCACAACTATATGGCATATATTTCTACAGAAAAGAATGCATTATAAATTAGAATAAATAATTTTTTTAAAAAAAAGATTGAATAACATTTTAAAATCTCAAGTCTGGAATTTATCTAAGACTTCCAGGAAGGATGATACATCGCAATTGGTCTTTTATGCATTTTATCATTTCCTAATAAAATAACCATAACATACAAGTGATAACTGCTACGTAACCTACCTCCCACTCTTATCCACAGAATTGTCTCTGTAAAGAATCCATTTTTACTTATGCTTCTTCCATCACTTAAGAAGATTATGATGTCTGGGCACAGTGGCTCATGCCTGTATCCTAGCACTTTGGGAGGCTGGGATTACAGGGAGGCAGAGGCAGGCAGATCATCACCTCAGGTCAGAAGTTCAAGACCAGCGTGATCAACATGGAGAAAGCCCGTCTCTACTAAAAATACAAAATTAGCCAGGCGTGGTGGCATGCCTGTAATCCCAGCTACTTGGGGGGCTGAGGCAGGAGAATCACTTAAACCCGGGAGGGGGAGGTTGCAGTGAGCCGAGATTGCACCATTGCACTATAGCCTGGGTAACAAAAGCGAAACTCCATCTCAAAAAAAAAATAAAAAAGATTATGAGGTAGATAACAAATTTCATTGCATTGCTATTCAGTTATAAATTCACCTAGTCATGTAAATAGTAACATACTCATCTAAAAGAACCTAATGCTAGAGAGAAGACAATAGTTAAGAAATAGAGACAATAATAATTTAGCTCTTTTGTAGGCAATGAGGTTTCAAATGCAATATGAAGTACATTAATTCCAAGAGCATACCACTAGAGGTGGGACAGCAACGTATATCAGTCTAAAAAACATACACTATCTTGATCTACCAATTCCATGTATAAAATGTATTCCTACGGAACTAGTAAGACTCTTTTGAGATTTGTCACAGCATTGCTTCATAGCTGAAAGTTGGAAACAGTGCCAGTTAATAAGAAATGGGTAAATCCATATGATAGAATATTATATTTATTAATGTGGAGCTCTTTGTACCAAATATAAGTTTAACAATCAGGTTATCAAAGAGTATGTATGATACAATGCTTTTTAAATAAAACACATTAACATACATAGTCGATATGCCACAAGATATTAAGAATAGTTTTCTCTAAATAGTGGCATTACAGGCAATTTTTATTTGGGTGTGTGTGTGTGTGTGTGTGTGTGGGTGTGTGTGTGTGTGTTTTACTCAAATGTTTATTACTTTTGTATTCAGAAAAAAACATTAAGAGAATCATAGGAAAGTTTAAAAAAGAAGAAAATCTTTAAAATATTATTTAGCATATCTTTCAAGTGAGATTGTTTCCTTTTGCTAAGCTATATTTTGTAATCTCCACAATAAACATGAAATGGTAGAATAAAAGTTGATATAAAAAATCTTGTACAGTAATAGGAAGCAGTGTTTACATTTTGCCGCCCCTTACATTTTGAAGAGGAAGCTCATATTCTTAACCAAGACTGTCTTATCATTAAAAGGTACCTACTTTTCCTAAATATTGCAAATAAATTGTTTGTACTTACAACTGCATGCTACACTGGACTTATTAACAAGAAAGCAGTATATTATAAAGGAACCAGCCAGACCTGGTTAAACTCCTAATTTTGCCATTTAACTTTGACATAACCACCTAAACCCAATCAACAAAAGGAAAGTATAGGTACCTAATAGAGCCAGTTAACAGAATATTTGAAGTCCAGGTACACACCAGGGGGTTGCACTTTAATACTCAGTAAAGTACATATCCCCTCTATTTACATTTTACACATTTCTTTTTGATATTCCAAAAGTTTTTACTTGGATTACTCTGGACAGTTAGAACCTTTTCTTGCCCATTTGGGGAAGAATTATTCTAACAAGGGTGTAATTTGGCATTAGGCCAGGAAACTCATGGTTTTTTGTACCATGAATATTGAGAATGTTGCTCACCATTTTTGGCCATGTCCTCCTTGTGAAAAGATCTTTCCCACTTTTAAAAGTAGGAATAGTTATGCTCCTCTCAAGAAATTGGGTTACCTCAGACACAAAAAACTGTGTAATTAATACGATGGTTCCTTTGTATTAATTGCTAAGATGTTCACACAAATCTGTGAACTCCTCTCTAGAAAGTATAGCATGGCAAGTACTTTGAGTAGTTAACTCACTTAGCTTCAATTTTCTTTTTCTAAAAATGATTCATCCTATTGTATCTACTTCTGAAAGCAGAGATAATACTGGCCCTCATTTAAAGGGGTTTTAAGGATTAAATATCAGAGTGTCTGCTATACTGCCTGGACCACATAGAGGGCTCACATGACAGGTTTTAGACTTTCAAAGAATACAGTTTGATGTACTCTTGCTTATGTCATCACCTGATGAAATTCAACATGTTCCAAATTCCCTTTGAAATAATGGAAAATGACAAAAATAAAGTCACATATCAAAACTAGAATGAAAAATGAAGTTACCTCAAATAGTGAAGGGCAAAATAAACCAGACCCAAGCCTGGAGTTAAATTGAGACCTTGTCTGTCTGAACTGATACATGCCTAACAGAGCTTACCAACTGGCTTTTTCTTCATCTAAAAATAAGCCATCAAACAAATATACTTTAGGATTTATAAATGACAAATCAAGAATTTATCTTATATTGTTTTAATATATGAATAATTTATATATTATTTTATAAATTTAATATAATTAAAAAAAATTTAGTTAACCTAAAACAAGACCTTGAAATATATCAGTGCTGTTCGAAGAATCCAGCAATGAAAATAGGTAGAGAAGTTAAATAAAAGATAATTGACAACAACAGTTTGGTGTACATAAGTAATAAAAGCAAGTCATATGAATAAAAGCCCTTGTCTCCTCCTTAGTGGCTAAGGCGAGGAAAGAATGTCATTGTCATTGTGTTGCTGCTGATTATAGCTCCATTTAAATTTGTTTTCATACTCTTGAAAACTTACCCAAATTACACAGGAAAATCTCACAATTCAGCAGTGCAAAAATTTTATTTGTTTCCCCTCCCCACCACTTTACAACATCTAAAATTTTACTTAATCCACAGTATTCTCTTTTCTTAATCATCTGATATCAGTCATGTCAAATGTGAGGAAATAAAAACACTAATCAATTACAAATCTCAGTCCCCCTTCCCCATTGCTACAGCAAATTTAGGATAAATCTACAGCATTCACTTACTTTTGCTGGTTCTGATACTGAGGAATATTTTTTTATTTGAGAATCAACACCTAAAGACTTGGCTAATTGTACAGCATTTGAATCGTCACTGATAAGTGTTCCAAGAGCCACAAGAAGTCTAAAAGTGGCTTCTAGGTCTTGTACTACTTCCAAAATTGTGCTAATTAGTGACAAACATTGAGCTTTCCCTTCAATGTTATGGTCTTTATGAAAACAAACAGAATAGTTCAGGGTCAATGTAGCCAGAGCAATGTGAATGTTCTTATTGCTCCCTGATTTCAGTTCTATTGCATGGGACATCAGTGATTCCCTCTGGGACATCATGAGTTTTTGTCCTGCCTGGCCAACAAAACAATTGCAAAAAGTCCTGAGAGCAAGCAGCTGGTTTGCTGGCTTTCCTTTAGGGTTCAGAAGATTGATGAGATGACTGCTGAAATGAGCCCCTTCCTTTTCATTGCAGAAGTTCTCATTCACGCTGGGGTGTTTAATTGACAACCGAAGAATGTCAAGTGCAGGAAAGACAATATCTATTAAAAAAAAAAATGTCATTCATGTTTATGGAAATAAAGACCATTTCTTTTGACTATCAACTTTTAAGGATTTTTGTTCCCCACTACAAAATTAACCATTTTCGAAAATGTGAAAAATTATGTGTCTGCTTTAAAAAATACAAATATATATATATATTTTTTGAGACAGAGTCTCACACTGTTGCCCAGGCTGGAGTGCAATCGTGCGATCTCAGCTCACTGCAACCTCTGCCTCCTGGATTCACACGATTCTCCTGCCTCAGCCTCCCGAGTAGCTGAGATTGCAGACACACACCACCACTCATGGATAATTTTTTGTATAGTTAGTAGAGACAGAGTTTCACTATGTTAGCCAGACTGGTCTTGAACTCCTGACCTCAAGTGATCCACTTGCCTTGGCCTCCCAAAGTGCTGGGATTACAGGTGTGAGCCACTGCGCCTGGCCAACTTCTCAGATTTATATAAACTAGATTTATTACTGTAAGATCATATTTGCTTTAAAAATGAGGTAACTCTCTCGGGTTATCAAATAGCCTGACACACTGAGTATTCAAAAATGAATGGAGGCCGGGCGCGGTGGCTCAAGCCTGTAATCCCAGCACTTTGGGAGGCCGAGGTGGGTGGATCACGAGGTCAAGAGATCGAGACCATCCTAGTCAACATGGTGAAACCCCGTCTCTACTAAAAGTACAAAAAATCAGCTGGGCATGGTGGCGCGCGTCTGTAATCCCAGCGACTCAGGAGGCTGAGGCAGGAGAATTGCCTGAACCC